TGCTTGGAAAACTGTCAGTAAGACAGTGCCATTTTCAGGTAGTTAATGGCAGTGTTGCCCAGTCTTGCAGGGCTCTTATCCACTGCAGTGTGATATACTGTACAGTGTGACAGTGAGCCCACTTTCACTGTTCTGGGCCTGATAAGTCCTTAACTGGTTGCGGAGAGATGAGAAGGGAATGTTCCAGTCATCAGTAGAAATCAGGACTCTGTGTCCCCCCTAGCCCTTCTGGCATCACCGACAGTGTTATCTGAGGGCAGCTACTCTGAATTAAGGGCAACAATAAAAAGTGGGCGTTTCACTTCCATGGACATATGAACCATTTCAGGGTCAAAGCCGTTTGCTGAAAATGCTTTCTGTGCTTTTAGTCAATGGATGACTAGCTTACAAGAAGACAGAAAGGGGCAGAATTCTAATGGATTGGAGGATGTTTTCAGCTGTTTCTTTAAAGCAGACAGGATATTTGGTTTGTTGACAACATAGCTGAGCAGCTTGTTCTAGACTCCCCCCCCAGCCTCTGTGTAAAAAAAGCCTCCTGTTCTCAGTTCTACAGGATTGAAGGTTTTGAATAAACTAGAACAGCGGGATTGTATTGCCTCTGCCTAACATACAGTATTTACTTCTCCAGTGCTGTTGAAGATAGCCATAGCAGCCAAGGACTTGGAGGCATTAGCTCGAGACAAGCTCCTTGTGTCCTCATTAAAATCTACAACATCAATAATAAATTATTTTAGTTATGAATACTATATTTTTTAAGATGCACTATGTTAGGGATGGTTTATATTTTCTGTTGAAAATAATATTCTGGGGCTTAGCTCATTACAACTCAAAATATTATCATCAGGTCACTATATATATATATCTTTCAATTCTAAATTGTGGTCTAAACTTGAAATTAAATCTAGCACAGCCTTTCTACATCTGCTGTATAGTTTAAAGCAATATGATAAATTCTACCTGTAAGTCTGGAATATCCCACAAGGCCCTTATAAAAATAAAGCCATCTGGTAACCCCCACAATAATGAAATTTTAAGTCTGTTAGTTTACTCCCAGTGTACAAGCAGGACAGAACCCCTGTTTAATAAAACATCAGAAATCCTTTTCAGGAAGTAAAGTGCCAAGCACTGAAAAAATAAATATATGGATCTGTAATGAAAAATACCTACATTATAACTCTACAAAAAATCTGGAGGTATCCTGAAGTAAGGTATTCTATACCCTCTATATATCTATCTATATAGACATGTGCACGAGATGACGAGATTGCTAATTAAATGTAAATTAGAAGAGCAAAATTAGAAAAAGATTATTCAAATGCACCATGGTATGGAGAGTCTGATCAACGTCAATCCTTTTTTTTTTAGAATCAAGGGAATAATTTTCAATCCATTTTCTCTATGAAGTGAATTTAAACCTCATGCATGCAGTAACTTGTAGAGATAAATTATTTGGGACAGTACAGGACATTCAAGACATTTAACCAGGTGCTTCTCATCCTTTTTCTGGCATGCAATTGAATACAAATACTGGGGATACAGACTCCGTGGGTGAGGTATTTGTGCAGATACCATGCAATAGCATTGCTTAAGAATTCTTCTTTAGCCTTTACCATGCTCATTGTCCTTCACTACATTGTCCTGCTTTCAAATGGAATTTACAGCACTGCCTTATACTGTATTCAACTAAGTTATAGTTATATCAAACATTATGATTACTGACTTACTAAATAGATTTTCATTTTCAGTTACAAAGAAAATCAGTTATCAGAACAATAACAGTGTTACTATTTATTATCTACTGTATTCTGTGGGCTTTATAGTTGGACAAATGTTGTGCAATTCCAAAGGTTGTGGAATACTGCTCCTTTTCTCTTTTTCTTAAAAACAAATGCCTGAACTGCATTAACAAACATCTTTCTTTACAACACAGTGGAAAACAGCATGGTTAAAAAGAGGCTGCTGTATCTAATCATGCAGATCAAAAAAAAATATGCTAGCATTTATTATGCATTAAGGAGGGTATCCATCAGCAACTCAAAAACAATTTTCAATTGTATTCTTAAGGGAGGTTAGGAAAACCATGAAACAGCTGTGAGCACAAGGACACGCAACAAAGACAAAATAAAATATTTCTGGCACTTGAAGAAGTACATCAGACAAAGCAACAGCAACATCTTAAACTGAAAAAAAAAACCTTTGTTCATTACCTAAGAAATTCAAAATTAGCTTTAACAAGAGTTCGAACTGCACAAAAACCAGAAAGGAACAGTACTTCTGTACCAGATCCACAAATCAATACAAGTAGAACTAATGGAACAGCTCCAAAGGGGGCTATAGAAAAGCTACATGAGAGGAGTGGACATTTCACAACCTGTACTGCCCTGGATGACAGTCTGTGGGTTCTACAAGACAGCAGGAGAGTAAGTCTGGACATTGCACTTGGGAGTAAGGAGGTAGAAAGAGCTCACTGTACACAGAATCCCAAAAGGCGAGGCAGTGACAGCACAACTGCAACAGTCACACTGTGCTGACTGACAGACAGTGTGAGCAGAATGAGCAGGGGGCTGATTGCTAGTTGGAAAGTGGTCATTTCAGTAATACATCTGAGCTGTTCCAGTTGTGCAAAGGAGTAAGTAAAGATCTGATGGGCAATTCACTCTACGGTTCAGAATAATAATGATCATATATACTGTGAGTTCATAAAATCAATCTTAAGGCCTTTTTTTTCTTGATGAAATTTGAAAGTTTCACTTTCTTTCCCAGTCAGTTTCAAGATGCACTTGCATAGCCATTTGCAATATGTCATGCTTGAGCAATTAACAACAAACCCTGTTCTATCAGGGGCAAGACAGGAACACAAAGTGACCAAAACCAGCTCATCTGGTGATTTGATTGCATCTCCTTGTTGTATTCTCTTTGATTTGTACTCAAAGGATAGTGAACATATTGATTTGAGCTGAATGTAATTTCTTTCCCCCCACAACAGCTGCATGAGCTGGTATGTAAGTACTAATTTCCCTTCAGACATCGTTCAGGTTTAAATATCATTGAAACAGTGCTAAGAATATTAAAACCAAAAAACTAAGTTTCCTACCACACAACAGGAAACTCAAACTTTCTTGTGTCATTGGACCCCAGCTGGGTGAATGTGCAGTAATTTCTACAACCTTCAAAGTCAGGCTGCTTCAAAAGAAATTCTTTAAAAAAACGCACATTTCCTCAAAATCCAAGTGATTTTTAAAATCAAGGCTCATATTCTCTTTGAGGATGGTAACAGATGCACTGATGAACAAAGTGCACTGACAAATTTCGACATTCCTGGCTAACTGATGCACTTTGTGTACAACTCCCTCAGAAACTGTTTTGGATTTCTGAGGATCAGAATGATGCTAACCCAAAGCATGTATCCATCAGGACACAAAAATGTAGTCTTTGGCTTGGGTTTTAGTATTCCACAAGGAGAGAAGAGCTTCATCACATTTGAGACCTACCATTTTTAAATGACAGGCAATCCTGTTTAAATCTCTCTGGGGACAGTGACTGGTTTTGCTATTGCTGTGATTACAGTACAATGTAATTTACTGCACTGTACTTCTCATCCCCCCAAAGACTGAAAATCTACTGCAGGAGTCGCCACAGCATGCAGCTTCTTTTTACTTCAGTGTCTTTACATCAGCTCTGGAGAACAAATCCTACCTCTTGCAAACATGGTGTCAAAAATACACAAACACTCTGTAGATGTAAGACAGTTGTCAACCACTAAAGGAACTCTGGTACAGTACCTGCATACATGTACATCATTATCAACCCAGCTTTCTGTTTCTATAATTGACTGTCAAAGCTGCAACAGTATTGAATGCTATTTTCTTGACAGTCATTACAGATACCATCTAATCGTGATGCTATTGGCATAACAGTCAAATGTCTGAATGTGCAGCATGTGTGATGGAAATCAAATAAAACATTTGCACAAATGATCTTTTTCATATTTCATGTGGAGGTAAGACTTCATAATGCCATTATCTACATTCCTCAATTTTCTCTTCCTTTCCACTACCACATGGGCAATCTTTAACGTTTCTAATTAAAAATGTTTATTGTTTTTTAAATACCAGACACTGGTAATTAACGTGCTTCACACCTCATCAGCTAGACTGTAGTGTTCTTGTTTTGTGTTGAAACTGGCTATTGATATGGCCATTCGGCCCATTAGCTAGACACATCATCAAGATAACAACAGGAGCAAAATAACCTCTTATCTGAGGATACAGCTCTAATGCAAGATTACCAACACAAATACAGAAGTGAATACTGCTACAGTATGTAAGCATGGTCTCACTGTGCTCTTCTGTGGTTTTACAGTGCTTTGGCACACTGAACTACAACAAACCTGTGATTTCATCTACAGTATCTATCCATTATCAGAAAGCCACTTATTCCTGGAAAGAGCTGTGGAATCCCAGAAGCAAGAGGTGCTAAGGGGACTACACACTGGACAATAAACATTGCAGTGCACGCACGTACAGTATACAAACAATCAAGAGACGCCAATTAACCTGTCCAGCATGTCTTTGGGAGGCGGGTGGAAACTAGAGAACCTGCAAAACTGCTACGCAAACATGGAGGAATATGCAACCTGTACACAAAAAGCTCACCCGTCAAATCAAATGAAATCCAGAACCCAAGAGCTATGAAGCCACCCTAACATTATGAACTACTATATTTAGAAAAATGATGATTAAGGCTAGAAGCATTCACTGGAGTAAATCACAGTAACATTATCGTTGTGAACAAGCAAAGCAAAGTGTATATTCACAGAAGAGGAAATAACAGAAGTGCAGGACATTAGTGTGAAAAGAAAAAGACAACCATGATATACAGTATGGCAACAGCAATCATTTCAATTGTATTGATAACCACCTTCTCTGTGAGTTTTGTTTCTCACATCGCAGTTACTCATTTCAACTGTGAACACCCTTGGACAGGGAAGGCAAGCTCACCTCCTTCTCGCCACAGATATTGCTGATGATGGAGTTGGAGGCCGGGCTGGCAGAGGGCCCCAGAACAGCCACCACACCCTTGGATATTATCTGGCACACTGTCAGAAGGAGAAGACAGCCGTTTAGCTCCTAGCACTCCCCCTCGTCTTCCATATTCCCGTCACGCTGAGCCTGGTCTGAAAGGCTGTAGCAAGAGTGCTGCCAGCACAGTAGCGTACTGTAATGATTGTAGCTGACACCAATATGATTTGAACAGGAGAGCCAAATGGTTGTTGCCTCTGTTTAAGCAATTTAGCAGGAGTTAAAATCAATGTGACGCCCGGCAAAACTCAATGCCGACCACAGCAATTCTGATTAAGTACAAAGCAGAAACTGATGCAGCATTGTAATCCTAAACCATGTGCTCTCGAAACAACTTAATTCAGAGATCGGGATGTTTCTTTCCACGACTTCTACTGATATCCTAAGTGATGACTTTAATAATACTGTGAATGGGATACACCACACTGTCACGACTTGATCTGTATTAAGCTGTTTACTCTAAAACCCTTGTAAAGAGGAGTAAATTATATAACAGCATGGGAAAAGAGCAAAACACAACTAGGTTCTTTCTGTCAATAACAGCACACCAGAGCCCTGTAATCAAACTGAATTTGCCATATTGAATTCAATGAATCAGCTTAACAGCTCTTAGGTCCCTAAATACACATTTTATTTAAAAAAAAAACCTCCAAGTTTTCTACATCCCTTTGGAACTGAACATTAGGAATTACAGGCAATGACAACCAATATACTGTAACTACTTTTTACAACAGCAGATAAAGGAAGATGTTTGAGTTGGGCTAGCTATTAGCTGGCCGTGATGTTTCTTCCTACTGGTAGGCAGACCTCAAAACCACATGGCAGTCAAAACTTCATGGAAGGACAAAAACAGTCACATTTAGGCAAGTTTTTTAATGAAATATGAATATTTCTATTGAATCTATCTCTGGGAGGATATTTACAGTGGACCTGAAAATTCCACTGTTTGCTTTTCTCTTCCTGTGTTGAAGTTGTTTTAATCTTTCTCGCTGTAGAACAAAAAGTAATTTCAGGTGAGGCTATAATCCCTGTGTTTTAATTAAGACTCCATGGCCAGTGTGCTGAGAAAGGAGTCTAGCATGCACAGCATGGGGTCCTAGGGAAGTGATAAAAGAGAATAAAACACAAAATGAATGATTCTGAAGCCAATGGACTGAGACTGGGGATCTACACTGAAGAATTCAGGAAATTAAAAGTGCACTCAATCAAATGATTAATAAATAATCCCCTAATCACCCACCCTGTTCGCTGCATAATTCACAGGGCAAGGCTCTGGAATTAAAAGGATTTTCAGGTGTCTGCCTGACTTCACCAAATAAAAGAATGAAAATTGTCAGATCAGATGAGTGTGAGGTGGTGTTCTTCAGGCTGGAAATAATTTCATTTTTTTGTGATATTGTGATATTTTGTGTGGTACAGCATACTGATGCCTAGCACACTCAAACCTTTCTGCCCTTGATTTGACAACTGTGGGATCCCCTGATAAAGCCTTCGCAGTTCACTCTCTGTGGCCAAACAGAAACCTGAACTGGAATGAAAGAACAATAATATTCACACAAATTATCAGAATTCCTACACATGCAGAAGCTTTGGTCACAGGTGGATTCTCATAGGTTCGTTTAGGTTCAACATCCCAGAAACCTGACTGTTCAGAGGAATACACACTGCTGTGTACAAGCCTTAAGATCCACTAAGCTTTCCTTACACTTCCATAAAAATTCATCCTCAAGGTTCCCAAAACGATGAGGACGAGGAGATGAAGAGACCCACTTCATCTACCACTAAAGTGCAGTTCCACCTGGGAGACAACTGGCAGCCATTCAAAGCCAGCAGCCCCACTGCACAGCAGATCTGGTGGAGAAGTAAGAAACTGCTGCACAGGTTGGACTAAGGGGATAATTTAGAGAGGTCAGACTTTAAAAGCCATGGGGACTTCAATGATCAAACAGTTTCTGGTATAACATCTCATCAGAAAGACCACATTTATTTTTGTTTGTTTGTTTTAAACTAACACAAAAAAAAATTGACATCTGTATGTGGAAGTCGAAAAGTAGGCTTTTTAGTTTTTGGAGAATCTACAGAGAGGAACAGATATGAATGGTGAGCAGCTCCTGACAATGGTAAATTAGGTCCCATTGGTAAATGTGATGAATTAGCTAAGGCAATACTTAATAGTGGCTGCTCATTTATAGTTTACCTTGCTGTCATCAAGTGTTTGTAGATTCTGATCAATGCAGATTAACAAGTGTTAAAGCTTGGGTTCTTCTCTCCCAAACAGCCAGTTATAAGACTAAAAAACACTATTGGTGGTATAATATTCATACCATCAAGTGGAAGGCAAAAAGCCTGTGCATCTACATATTTAGCAATTAAAGGACTAAAGACACATTCAGCACTGGAATAATGGCCAAACAAACAGTCCAAGTGCACATTAACAACCAAAACACTCCTGCATAATTTCAACTTCTTTAACTAGTTTTATTATACACCCTTTTAATACATTTTAAAAAGGACTTGGACTCAGGAATGTCCAGAAAAACACAGCAAGGCATTTATAGGTGACACTTTAAGACAAAACACATGAAGCAACACACCTTGCCTTTAAAAATCCTCAGTCCTGACAGCAGCTACCATACATTACAGAGTTACCTGCTGAAACCTAAAACGAGGTAGATCTAAAAATTATGGCACATTTATACGGTGCTGACAGTACACCCAGAAACTCTGGTCGGAGATCTGTATGAACTACCGAAAACTATTGGGATAAGAAAAATTGCTCTCAGGGCAGACCATTCTGTTAGTCCCCTGCTCAGCTGGCACAGGTAGCTCATAAGGAGTAAAGATCTTTTTAGCACAGGCAATGCAGCATTAGATCAGAAATGTAGTGTGATTGGTTATAAAAGGTAAAACACATTAGCATTCTTGAGTAGTACCATAGTACCACAAGACAGATACTGTATACAGATTATTGTTACCAAAGGAAAGCAGTGTTTTCCTTTGCTGGGATGTTTTTGTGCAAACTGTCAGTTTTAATGCTTGATTACAGGGAAGCTGTACTCAATAGCATTTTTGTTACTGCTTAAGGGGCTTCAGAAATTCTCATCCTGCTTCTCAAAAGCCAGCAAAGGAGCAGCTAACAGGGAATACACAAAGCAGAGTGGAATGAATGTTTCAATATTTTGCTCTTGCTAGTCAGGTAGCAGTGACTGTGACATTTCCCTGTGGTGCTGCCAATTTCCTTCCTTTAATGAAAAAAAAGGAGTTCTTTCAATCTATTCCCCCTACTGCCGACAGTGTAGTATATTCTATTGCTCTATGTGAACACATCCTGACCTGTACAGCATGGTAGGGATATAATCCCACTCTCTACGCAGGTAAAATACAGTAAAAGGAACTGTGTCCAACAACTAAGCAATTTTGAATTCTGATGTATGATTTTAAACGTATCATGTCATCGTTACGGCCTAACTGGCAGGTTTTAGACTACTGGGGACTTGGCCATTTATAAGTCCCACAGCCACCTGCTCATCTCTGTGCTGTGCAATTGTAAAAGCCACAGCGAAGGTGACACTCACAGTCACACTCTTGTCTCTCAGTGGTAATGAGTATTAATGCAGTTCTCATTTTCAAAATTTCATACAGAGGATGCATGGCAATAAATATTGTGGATTATTCCACGAAAGTTTGATAATTTGTGCAACAGGTGCTACAGTCAGTACGAGGTGTGAAAGTAAGTGGGAGAACACAGACATATGTATTATGAAGTATTTTGTTAAAGGCTGACAATGTACGTACACTACTAAACCACCTACTGCCACAAAGCCCTCTCTCAGCACTCACTGGTTTCTCCAGTCTCGTACTCGCTGTCCCTCAAGAGCTCGAAGATGTCCACCTCCAGTTTGGCAGTCTGGGATCGATTGGTAGCCCGGTTGATCCTTTCTTTGGCCAGGGTGATAGCAAGCCTCTCCCCTCGACTGCACTCCATGGGGTCATCCAAGATCGCCGCTGAGGAACAGACCAGACAGACATGAAGACACAGTGGTGGTCAGACAAGCATGTCCATCTGGGTCCTGGGCCATCCCTCAGCTCTAGTCCGGTGGAAACTCAAAGGCTTTTGCTTTGTCAGCATTAACTCATTTTGAAATCCAGTGGTCAGCGATGCATATAAAGCATGATCATACCTCCCATAAATGCCAAAAGTACTATTCAAACAAAAATTCGGTCTCACAGGTAACCCCTACGATAGAAATTCAGATAAAATGGGCTGAAGAATTATGAGAGGGAATATCATAGCATATGATCGTCTCTGTAATAACACCTTTATTGCGCAGGTTATTTTTAAACAGTTTCTTGCACGGTTACATACAGGAGTGTATCAGCATGCTAACATGCATCATTGGTCTGACTATAATCTCAAAACTCCAAAGGCAGAATGGCATAAATATATATATATATTATCAAGGCTTTGTTTTGGAAATTAAATAACTACGAATGAAGGGTAAACAATATTCCTCTAGGCTGGGCTCTGGGGCATGACTGAAGCCAATTGGTTTATAGCCTGTGAGAAAGCAAGGATAATTTCATTTCTGCAGTTCAATCTGTAATCCGTCACTCTGTGTAAACACACAAAGGCACTGCTTTTGGAGTATAAGGTCCTGGGCAGGAGAAATGGACACCTCCTGATTAAGCAGACACTCAAGAGCCTGAACTGCACACATTTCCACAAGCAGTGGCACAGGTAAGACTCTCCTAAACATTGGTGATGAATAAATGTTTGAGCTGCTCTTGAGAAACTGAGACGTTACAAGAAAAAGATGTTATGGGAAAAGGAATTAGTAACAGCTCCCTGCCGAAAAGTAGACAATGGCAAAGGAAGACAGATGCTGCATATGTAGGAAAAGTCTGTTATCTTTACATTTGTAATATTTTGCGAATTGCTCTGAACTGCACCTGCTCTGAGTGAAAAGAGGTTTAGATTATAGGTGGGAACAAAATGACATTTTCCTCTTTCATTGGAGAAAGAAGGCAGATGGCCAGTGGGAACAGTGGGAATTCAGCCCAGAATGAGGCCCAAGCTTATGCCACCGGCTGATAAAATGGAAGCTTGTGCACTTGGTCTTAGAAGAAGGTTTTTCCAATGTAAAAGATTCAGTTACCAAACAAATTGATAGAAAAACAAACTTGCACATGAATCGCTATACCAGGGTAACACTGGGTTGAAATAAGAACTCTCTGTCGAAATTAAAATCAAGGGTTTGACAAGGGTTTCAAGGAGGGCTGGAGTTGCACCTTTGCTAAGGATGTCGAAACGGCCTAGACCACTTAAGTTCAGTTACCATACTCCATAACAAACCCAGAACACGGTAAGTTTGTGATTAGGGGGAGCCCTTCACCAGGCCTAGACTTGTGAAGGCCTTCAGGACATAGTTAGTTGCTTTGCTGTTAAAAAACAACAACAACAACAACAAGTCACAACATTTCTCATTTAAATAAAGGAGCCTCAAGCTTACAGCCATAAATAACCGGTCCATGTTTAATGAGTTTTATTTGCTCTTGACCAAGTGAAATGGTTTCGTACAGTATTTTGACATGTCTGATCCTAAAGGCTGGTCCCTGCAGTAAAATGATATTCCCCTTGACACCAAAAACATCCACAATTGATCATCCAATTCCTGAAAAAAATACTGAATGAATATTTCTCCAGTACTGTTTAATTCACTGACCCTATGACTTCCCTTCAATGTCCAGCTACGCTGATCGGGTTTACCAAGAATCTGTGCATTCATTTAAATGAGGCCCAATGCTTTCTACTGTTTACTTTCTACATAATTCATCCTCCACTGACAGTCTACTTCCAACTCAAGATCACAAACAAGGTACAGTAAGTAGAAAACCAAAACCCTGATTGTCTAATGTACTGAATACTGCACTGAATGCTGCTTTGTGGGAAACATCACAGTAACAAGAAATGCAGAAGGTGACTTGTTAAGTCTCTGATGTACCCGAATATTTCCTGGTACTGGGGCATGGCTCAGCTAACATGGGGACTAGACCTGTGGGTTTTGGATGGAGTTCACAGACTCTGCTCCATCATCTAGAAGCTGAGAGAGAAGAAAAGCTGGATTCGTGCTCAGCCTCAAAGGTTAAATGCAATGAAGCAATCTTCCGCCTGGGATATTGTGATAACCAGTCCAGTGACCCACAGAAAACCTGTTTGTTCTGGTTTCCAACAGGCAGAGACAAACCTTGCAGAAATCTAACAGCCTTGTCTGTCTTCTTGTCAGTGCATGAAGAAGTGGGTCACACCGATTGTGCAATTTTGCGTGTGCACTGTTCTCACTGAGACTTTTGAAAGGTTCCCATTATGTCCAGTATCTAAAATTAAATGTAATTTGCTGTAGTCAAAGTGATTTTAATTTTATTATTGAATTTCCTCCTACTTCTGAATAACACAATTCAGGTTTAAAGATGTTGGAATGAGAATGTTGCCCCATTCCTGCTCTGGAGCTGCTTTAGCCCTGGGGCAGTGCAAGATTCCTAGAGGGTGTTTCTTGGCATTTAAGCGCTTGCTGGATATTGCAAGTGTCATTTCTCACAGTGCAGAGGGCTAACCCAGTCAGCCCAGAGCAGGGCAGGGTAAGAGATGAAGGGAGGTCCTGGAAATGTGATTACTCATAGACAATCCAGCACACACGGGAATGGAAATCGAAGCATTATTTTAGGTATATTCCTACCATCAGAGTCAGCTATTCAAGTTATTAAACCATATAAGGCATATTTGTTTGTTTTGTTAAGGCTAATGATTTTCTTTGTCCGATTAACGGAGGAGCTGCCCATGCTAAAGAATCATGCAGGAATAGACGGGAAGATTCAGCATTAAACTTGACCTACCTTAGTCTGTACCCACTATCCCTTAAATAAGAGTTTCAACAGCAGGCAGTGATCAACAGTCACACCTAGGATAACAGCTTTAAAAGCACTTGTACAAAACCTTCCCTATGAATGAGCAATGCAAGGTGCCAAAATAGCAATAAAAAATGTCTTTCTAATCTGAAGGACTGAGCACTTGGTCATTCTTACATTAAAGATACATAATTTGGGATTCACCCACAGGGGCTTTTTTAATAACCCTAAATAAGTCCTTTGTATTCAATGAGATTCCAGTACAGAAAGAAACTGCAGATGCCATGTGTTCCCCCTTCCCACGCAGCTGTCGTTATGAATATTTCACTTTGGTGGAAGCTGCCCATACAAACAGGCATACAGGCAGCCAGGGACCTCACAGAGCACTCCCTGGTGAAGGGATTGATTCCTCTGGTCTTCCTCTTCTCTCTTTATAAACTAAATGCTCTGGGCTCATTAGAGGGCCTCACAGGGTAAGTGATGACAGTTACCGCAGACTTCAGGCTGCAAAAGAAAAAAAAAGAACAGTGTCCCCCAGTGAGCTGGATCCCCTGGTGCACACATGTTCTGAAGTAGAATGACAGGAGGAAAGTTACTTCAACCTGAAGCCCTTCAGACTAGCACAGGCACAGTCATTGGTATGCCTCTAACACTTCAGGGTGCAGTGACACGCTGCATTTTTATTAGCTTTGAAGAACAGGACTCTACTAAACCTACCATTTCTACATTTATGTATAACACATGTAAACCAACATTTTGGGGGTTTTATTATAAAATCGCCAGAGGTAATGAAGGATAGGTCTCTAATGTGGAGGTGTTAGTGGGGCCAGCAAGGGGTGCTCACCCTGCGCTCTGTGTGGGTCCTAATGCCCCAGTATAGTTAGGGACACTATGCTGCAAACAGGCGCTGTCCTTCGGATGAGACGTAAAACCGAGGTCCTGACTCTCTGTGGTCATTAAAAATCCCAGGACGTTTCTCGAAAAGAGTAGGGGTGTAACCCTGGTGTCCTGGCCATATTTCCCATTGGCCCTTACCAATCATGGCCTCCTAATAATCCCCATCTACGAATTGGCTTCATTACTCTGCTCTCCTCCCCACTGAGAGCTGATGTGTGGTGAGCGTTCTGGCGCACTATGGATGCCATCGCATCATCCAGGTGGGGCTGCACATTGGTGGTGGTGGAGGGGAGTCCCCATTACCTGTAAAGCGCTTTGAGTGGAGTGTCCAGAAAAGCGCTATATAAGTGTAAGCAATTATTATAATTAAATTAATTAATGTAACTCAGTGATATCTGTCTGGTAGCTTTTAACTCCACACTCAAGCCTAAAAGCTAGGCAGAATGGAGCTAATCCCTGCTGTAAGGAAACATGGATGGGACAGGTACCACACTCGTACCTACTTGCACAGGTCTCTCTCAAATCCTAAAACCCTACCGAGCTCCTGCTGCTCTCCCTCACACCAGAGATACCACGTTAGTGGGCGGGAGCCATCAGAGGAACAGAAAACCATTAGACACCATTATTACCTACAATCCTGTAAGCGAACCTCTTCCATCTCCTGGGAGTACGGTGTAATTTCCTTCTGTTTGTTAGTTTTTTGTCTAATTAACGGGTCTTCCCAGACCTCAGCTCTTTTCTGACGCATGGTATTTGAACTGCTGAAGAAGAGTTTTATTTAATTGAATCCATAATAATGCATCTGGTGAACGACTGTACTGGTATTTACCCCGCTGTACAGCTCGGAACGAGGAAGTTTTCTTTATCTTTTGGTGTGGCGACTTGAAAGCGCAACTCAATTCCATGGCACCAGTGCCCGGAGATAAGCAGAATTCAATTCTCTGCAATTACAGGCTGCTTAGAAATACTTACAGGCGCAACTTGTTTTCATCTGTATTTTGATATGTTACTGAGGCAACAGAGACAGAAACCTCTTAATAAAGCAGGACTGTTTGGATTATTTGACTTTCTGAGTTTTATTATTTTTGCAGAAAATCCTTTTGCTTAAATGGTAATGCAACTCATCTACCTCGCTTTAAATGATACCAAGCATTAAGCCTTACTTATTTCAATCTAACTTCATGTGCCTTTCCCACACCGTAGTT